CGGACTGCCGCTGGGTGAAAGAGTATTAAAAAGCAGTCCAGACGGTCGAACAGCATGGCGTTAAAATAGTAGGTGCAGTCGACGTCCGTAGAACAAGAACAGCAGGTGAAAAGCAATCAAGAGAGGGCCGATCGGCCAGATCATTAATGGCTGATGTTGGCGAATCGCACGACGTCACGACGGTACCCGGTGACTGAGCAAACGTCGCAAAGTCTGTCTGTCTGACCGTCGGTGCGCGATTACAGTCGACAAACGACCATCGACCGTTAAGCGAAGCAACTGCTCTGTTCTAAAGTCACAGGTTTCTTCAACTTCGACCAATTCAGCTTGACTCATTACAGTAGTCTAGCCCGTGACTTCAACCTCGCAAAAAGTAGCCGTGTAGAGACGTCAGCTGAGGAGAATTATGACTGTCTCTCCTTTGTACAAAGGCCATTTCTTCCGCCTCTGTTTTTTGTGTGTTTTTCTGCCTCGGTACACTGGCGATATCAACTCACACGAACGTAATCACTACCGTAATCTAATAACGAAACAAGAACGACGGCTGAACTGCGAACAGCAAAGTTGGCTTCGACGCAAAATGAGGGGAAATCGGTTCACTTACGTAATGACTCGAGTCTCCTGGTGACTCCATACGTGAATGCCCTAGAGATGGAAATTACTAACAACGATGTTGGTCGTCCTGTCAACAAAAGGTGGGGAAAAAACCATTTATTTCAGCGCATGATCACGTTGGGAGTTAAAATATGGCAAGCGTCGACCACGAGGCCAGGATCCAACATAGAGGAATGAGGTAGAGGCAATTCTGCTTTCAGAAAAGTATTTCCTTCTGCGATGCAGTAACCGGTGCCTTATAGCAGAAGTGTGTAAAAGACACGAATACGGTGGCTATCACCAACTACGGAGGTTCAGATACAAATTGCTCAAGGTCATCTCAAGGAACAAACAATCACTACCAACCGCGTTGACGTTTCCAAACTTTAATTCAAATCGCCGCTGTTTTCACTGCTACGGTGTTATGAAAGCCCTACTATGACGGTTCAGCCAATTACTAAAAATTTCTGCAAGAGAAATTTCCGAGGATAATCTTACTGTCTGGGTCTCAGAAGCTAAAAAATTGAGACATACCAAAGAAACAGCACAAAAATCAAGCGATCAGATAAAATTTAAAGCTATCGACATAAATATTCTTCTGATCCTATTTATCATAGGTCTTCTGATACCAAAGTTGGTAGCACAAGAAAACAATATCGAAGTAGAACTGAAACGTCTAATGCAAATTTTCCACGCTTTAGTCAAACATCTTCAAACCAGATCACTCACTAGATCTAAAAACGTCTAGAATGGCCACAAAACAACTGATTTTGCAAAAACTGCAAGAAAAGCTTCCTCCGTGGATCCCAGTGCTCTGCGACCTAGAACTAGGGGATGTAGGCAAACCCTACACGTCTCTATATGACTATTTTCCAAAAATTAGGTTCGAAATGTCATGCCACTCTCACCTCATGGTAAACTCTCATCTGCGTTGCCGGTGATGTTTCCGTTGCAGCTAAATATACCGTTGTGTTTCAGCTATAATCAATATCTCTTGCGGAGTCATATTCCTGAATTTAGGCATATCAGCAGGATCAACCCATCACCTATTTCCAGCCAGCTAACAAATTCTGGATAAGTACAAATCAATGTCAAGCTTCCCGATACTCCCAAAACGATGGAACACCTGATTTATGGCAGCGTTTTTGAAAGATCGGGCCTCAAGTTGAATAAATCCCATTTCTGATATTTTAAACACCGAGTGCGCAAGTTCCCCCAAAGAAATAATTACTCAATACTTTACGACATCTTTTAATTGACCCAGCTCATTAGCTGACTCTCTGACTAGTTTTCGAATTGGACGCAGCTTTTCTAATTATCACAAATCCGAACAGCTCCAGAGTATTACAAGGCTCTGTCTTGTTACCAGTTGTTTACAACATCCCTGCAGACTCACGTAGCAGTCGTGGTCAGGTCCAATGACACCCTTGTTTGTCCCTTAAATAAAATCCTGACCTGAAAGAATATAAATGAGGCATTTCAAAAAATTAAATATGACCTGTCAAGACAGGACTGCTGCTGAACACCTCGAAATCGACAGCAATTAATTATTTACGTGGGAAACATTCGCATTAACAGCCAGAAAGGTATAAAGTATTTAGTAGTGATACGAAGAGATATCTGAACTAGTCGTCCAACATTCAGAGTATGTCCAACTACTCACAGGAACTTGTCGAAGGGAGTGTTCTGGACAACGTCCGGGTGCATTGATGGATACTTGCCTCGTGCCTCTGATCCGTACCTCATACGCCTGCCGGGTCTGGGCAATTCCGATTTTAAGACTCTCCGGTGAATACCATCTCTGGTTTCTCGTATCACTGGTATTAGCCAGAAAATTCTTGCTCCTACTTCTAACAAATCACATTCATTGTCATTGTCATTCTTGGTAAAGACTGTGATGGATTCTGTTGGTCATAGTTATTCCTTTAGTTTCGGTGCATGTGGACCATTTGATGTGCAAAAGAGTCGGGCTGATAACAATCAAAGCTGCACCGGCTACTCCCACCCCACGTCCGCTTTCCAGCACCGCTTATAGATAAGGGCGCGACCAGGAAGGAACCATTTGTTCCTCGTCTGATTGGCCAGATGGCGCCAGATCAGGAAAAACGATTCAATTCAGGAGACCTGTGTGTCCCTTTACAGTAACGAATACTATAAAAAGTGCCACATCTCTATATGTATTAGAAATGTTGACGATGATGTAGATTTTGTATTTACGCATGTCCGATTCCCGAACAAACCCTTATGCTGTGAAACCGCAGTCAAGTGTTAACAGTCTGTATCTAAACGTTTTCAAACGAAAAACTTTCGGATCCATACAGATGTAAGAATGTCCATGTACACAAGAACATATCATTATGAATTTCGATGATTTTTATCAGACAAAATGTGAAGTACAACTTTCCATGAAATTTATTTTTTCTGAGACCTGGTAACATGCCGGTGACAATCTTTCGGTAGGCACGTAGAAAATTCACCGTAGAATGACTTAATTCTGAACCACAGTTTCGCCCAACAGTTATACCGCAGATATTGGATTCTACTTTTTTATCGAACGTATGTGAACACATGTTCAACCCAACATGAAGACCTCATGTTAGTCTAACAGCCGTCAGAAGAATCGACCGAGAAACCTTGGCAATAGTCCAAAACGTACAGTAACCATGAGTCTAGAAAAACCAATTTTTTCAACTGCCGGATCATCGAAATTTTGTATAATCGGTGTGCCACACGACTCGCTAGCGACAATGCGGGAAACGTATCGGCCACTATTTAAAATTGCCAAACAAAACTTTCAAAATAGAGTGTATCATGATGCCGTCTGTTTCCCTGAATCCGACAATAGCCTCGTTTTCCGGTTTTCAAGGGAAAACGATTCTGTGACAACGTATTATTCATTTTCTCCTCAACACGAAATGACACCGGACGATTAGCGAGCGTTCGCTAATGACCCGTCAGGTACGCGACATGCGTGAGAGTACATATCATGATAAAACTATTGACGGCATCGCCACCCAGACATCGAAAACGGTTTTGTTACTTTGAAGTTGTTCAACGTGACGGTGGTGGTGATGGTGGCATAATGCGTTAACGAGTCGGTTTCGAACTCAGGAGTTACCGAGTTCTATTCCTGAGGAGGAAGAAACGCGAATTCCACGGTTGCTAGTGGCTCAGTCGGTAGAACGTTGAAAAGTTCGAAATCTGAGCCCGGTCACTCGCCCTTCTCCTTTCAGAGGTTGATAGATGACTACTGCTCTGCTAGAAAGAAACAGAAGCCTGCACACTGCGGATGTTTGCCATACGGACGCTATGATCTTCGATTTTATAATCAGGCACTGGTGGTTGATGGCATGTAAATGGGGTTGAGCACACCACCATTAACCTCATGAAAATATTTCATCATGGAAGTGTAAAGCAGACCGACATTCCATCGGTTACAAACTTGCCTTTCCCTCCGTTAGTTCAATATAAAGGGAGCATATCATTAACTTTTTACTTCAGCATTAAAGGTCCTAAGCTCGAAGCCCCCTCTAGAAGAAATCCAAACAAATTCAAACCAAACCAAATCCAAACAAATCACCCTTCACGCGTCCATTCAGTTGCCTTGGTTTTTCATCGTAACATCGCATATGTGGTTCATACTGGATTATCACGAATTCATCTGCGTTTTGGATGTCTGCAATATTCACAGATTGAGCAGATTTTTCG